GGGATGAGGTGGAAGGGGAGGGTGGAGGGGGAGGGGGAAGGGGGGAGATGAGGAAGGAGGTGGGAGAGGGAGGGAGGGTAGAAAGGGAGGTGGAGGGAGGGAGGAGGTGGAGGAGAAGGAAGAAGAAGAGGAAGAGAAAATGAAGGAAGAAGAAGGAGAAGAAGAAGAAGAAGAAGAAATGGAAGAGGGGGAGGAAGAGAGGGAGGAGAGGAGAAGGAAAAGGAGGAGAAGGAGGAGGAGCAACAGGAGGAGAGGAAAGATAGGTAGTGTAATCAGGAATATGTTGTGGAGGAGGAGGAGGAGGGAGAAAAGGAGGTGGAGAAAGGAAGAGGGAGGGAGCAGAAGAACGAAAGGGAGAGGGAGCTAGAAGGAGAGGGAGAAAGGAAGGAAAAGAGAAACACACACACACACTCTTTCTCTCTCTGTCTCCCCCTCTCCCTCTCCCTCCTTCCCTCATACATACACACACACACACACACACTCACTCTCACTCTCACACACACACACACACGTACATACACACACACACGTACACCCGTACGTACACACACACACGTACGTACACACACACACGTACGTACACACACACACACACACACACGTACGTACACACACACACACACACGTACGTACACACACACACACACACACGTACGTACACACACACACACACACGTACGTACACACACACACACACACGTACGTACACACACACACACACGTACGTACACACACACACACACACACACACACACACACACACACACACTAACACACACACACAGACCCTTATTTTCACAAAGAAAAATCAAGTTAACCTCCCAACAATGCAGATGAAATCACACTGTGAAGATTGAAGATTCCAGCTTAATGAATAAATTTGCATAGGTGCAATGACACTCATTTTTTATCGTGAATATTTTCTAATTCACTATTCGTTTTACATCAGCGCTTCGGAGACACCATCCATCACTAACATGTATTCATTCTTAATATCATTAATCTCATTCGTATCTTTAATCATAATTTTGCATCATACCTTTTATCATAATTTTGCATCATACCTTTTATCATAATTTTGCATCATACCTTTTATCATAATTTTGCATCATACCTTTTATCATAATTTTGCATCATACCTTTTATCATAATTTTGCATCATACCTTTTATCATAATTCTGCATAATACCTTTTATCATAATTTTGCATCATACCTTTTATCATAATTTTGCATCATACCTTTTATCATAATTTTGCATCATACCTTTTATCATAATTTTGCATCATACCTTTTATCATAATTTTGCATCATACCTTTTATCATAATTTTGCATCATACCTTTTATCATAATTTTGCATCATACCTTTTATCATAATTTTGCATCATACCTTTTATCATAATTTTGCATCATACCTTTTATCATAATTTTGCATCATACCTTTTATCATAATTTTGCATCATACCTTTTATCATAATTTTGCATCATACCTTTTATCATAATTTTGCATCATACCTTTTATCATAATTTTGCATCATACCTTTTATCATAATTTTGCATCATACCTTTTATCATAATTTTGCATCATACCTTTTATCATAATTTTGCATCATACCTTTTATCATAATTTTGCATCATACCTTTTATCATAATTTTGCATCATACCTTTTATCATAATTTTGCATCATACCTTTTATCATAATTTTGCATCATACCTTTTATCATAATTTTGCATCATACCTTTTATCATAATTTTGCATCATACCTTTTATCATAATTTTGCATCATACCTTTTATCATAATTTTGCATCATACCTTTTATCATAATTTTGCATCATACCTTTTATCATAATTTTGCATCATACCTTTTATCATAATTTTGCATCATACCTTTTATCATAATTTTGCATCATACCTTTTATCATAATTTTGCATCATACCTTTTATCATAATTTTGCATCATACCTTTTATCATAATTTTGCATCATACCTTTTATCATAATTTTGCATCATACCTTTTATCATAATTTTGCATCATACCTTTTATCATAATTTTGCATCATACCTTTTATCATAATTTTGCATCATACCTTTTATCATAATTTTGCATCATACCTTTTATCATAATTTTGCATCATACCTTTTATCATAATTTTGCATCATACCTTTTATCATAATTTTGCATCATACCTTTTATCATAATTTTGCATCATACCTTTTATCATAATTTTGCATCATACCTTTTATCATAATTTTGCATCATACCTTTTATCATAATTTTGCATCATACCTTTTATCATAATTTTGCATCATACCTTTTATCATAATTTTGCATCATACCTTTTATCATAATTTTGCATCATACCTTTTATCATAATTTTGCATCATACCTTTTATCATAATTTTGCATCATACCTTTTATCATCATTCTGCATAATACCTTTTATCATAATTTTGCATCATACCTTTTATCATACTTTTTTCCCATTTTCCTATCATTGTTTCCCCTTCCATATGTTTTATCACCATGCTCCTTTTTATATCTTTTCGGTAAACATGGCTAAATATTAAGCGCATTCTCTTCTAAATAACTATAAAATCTTTTTGGCTTGTCCTTAATCTGAATAAATTATCATATCTGCTAACCAAATATAGGAATTATTAGTCGATGTAACCAATAAATTCATACGTTAATTAAACGGCCGAAAAATCATTTATCTTGAAATATGAAAATTCGTGAACAGCATGTATTCCAGTCCTTCTTTTGTCCTCGCCTTCTCTGGAATTTTAGAATCTATGAAGAGATAAATAAATGGAATTTAATGTTAGATAGGGAATAAAATAGATAATATTATATAGATATTATTCTCGAAACCCGGCGGCGGTGATAGATTTACACTTAACAGTAGCCAAACTTTGTATATTCTTTTAATGCCCAATCTATACCTACATCTAAACCCTTGAATAAACCAAAGAAAAATATCTGCAGTTTTCGCCCAACAAAACGATGCAGATGACTTGTTATGAATCAGTAAGTTAAGTTTCCCAACATTCTTGCATAGGCCTACAACGTTAAAGAATTTTCAATAAAAGCACAAAGAACCAAAATCTACATTATAAGGGCAAGGCATATCACGGGGAAATATGTGGAATACGTTAATAGAGTGTTATAGGGGCCTAAATATCTAATGCTCTTTGGTATTTAATCCTTACTGCGGGGACGTCTCTCTATATTGAGAAATTAAGTCAATTCTAATTGGTAAAACTTTATTCTTTTTACATAAATGACAATGGATTTTTTTTTAGCACACTTGAGATAAAGGTTAGAAAATATGCCGAGAACATTACACAGATAACGTCATGAGCCTTGAGATGTGTAACGTTACATAAACCTGTTCGGGCTCCCGGTAAGATGATTTTGATTTTATGATTTTGTATCTCGTGCAGGGTGAGGGGGGGGGTGAGGGGGTGGAGCCAAAGTAACAGTAACAAAATACGCACGAAACCCGGAGTATAACGAAACATTGCTGAAAGTCCACCGCGGATTCCCTGCCTCACACCAAGCTCTCTCTCTCATCTATTAAGAGTAGTACCACTGCTATTGTTCGCTAGCACCGACCTATTCCAATATATTTGAACCAAAGACATCACAAGATATCTATCTAAACATATGTATATTCAGACTTATACCGATAATTGAACACAGTGTCACAAGATATCTGTTGATGGTAAATTACGATGGATTTTATTGATATCTATCTAACTATCTGTCTGTGTATATATGTATCTATCTATCTACCTATCTATACCGATATAAATGAACAAAAAGCATCACAAGATATCGATCGATACCGAATTTCGATGGATTCATTCTCAAAAACTCACCTTTATTTCGGTTTTGAAATTCGTTTCGTCACAAAACACTGTAAATGAATCTACTATAAAACATACCTATCGTGCGATCGTTGAGGCTTCTTCCATATATGTATTCCGGTAAGAGAGAGCACGGATTAATTCGCACTTTGAAGATAAATCACCAAAGAGATCTTGAAGTCTAATAAATTGTTGAGGAAAAAAAAGTTACTATCTAGCACAAGTGGATTCGAATTTTCGAAGCATTTTGGCGTTTAATTCGAGCAAAGTGAAGCTAAGGCGAGCGGTTAAATTGGCTGGTTGAGATATAACGAGACATTCGGCATAGTTGGTTATGAAGATCAAATATTTAATGTCCAATTTGCAGCGGCAAGTTATTTGCTGGAATATCTCCCTCCAAAAGAGGACATTTTAAAGTATAAAGATAGTTTCTAGGAATTCTCATTTGCATATTTTCCCCCAATAAAACCCTCTTATCGTCATTCTCTCTTTCATATCTTTTATCCTCATTCTCCTTTTTAACCTCAGTTATCACCCATCTCCCTTTTTATCATCGCAACTCCCTATTAATTATGTTTTATTATCACTACCCCTTCCTTTCGTCATTTCATCATCACTACCCCTTCTCTTCGTCATTTTATCATCACTACCCCTTCTCTTCGTCATTTTATCATCACTACTCCTTCTCTTCGTCATTTTATCATCACTATCCCCTTCTCTTCGTCATTTTATCATCACTATCCCCTTCCCTTCGTCATTTTATCATCACTACCCCTTCTCTTCGTCATTTTATCATCACTACCCCTTCTCTTCGTCATTTTATCATCACTATCCCCTTCTCTTCGTCATTTTATCATCACTACCCCTTCCCTTCGTCATTTTATCATCACTACCCCCTTCCCTTCGTCATTTTATCATCACTACCCCTTCCCTTCGTCATTTTATCATCACTATCCCCTTCCCTTCGTCATTTTATCATCACTATCCCCTTCCCTTCGTCCTTTTATCATCACTATCCCCTTCCCTTCGTCATTTTATCATCACTACCCCCTTCCCTTCGTCATTTTATCATCACTACCCCCTTCCCTTCGTCATTTTATCATCACCCTCCCTCTGTTTACCTTCCAGCAAGCGAGAAGTCCAAGACGGCGAGAGTGTCAGTACTTTGGAGGCGAAAGAGGGAGGCATGTTCCACCCCTTAAACGACCGCGTAGTTTTCCCGGGACTCAAAGTGGCTTCGGATTACGGCTTTGATTACAACAAGACCACTGAATCCTTCGGCAACTGCTCGTGCAAGCCAG